GTAGTGATACTGCCTCGGAAACCCAAGGAGGGGTCGCTATGAGTCAGGGCTGACTCGACGGCACATAACAACAACAACAAGGTAACAACAGTAAGTGCCTCATGGCCTCAAAATTTGCATAGACATGGCATTGAGTTTGGACCTACCTTCATAAAAGGAGACTCACAGAATTCCTTGAATTCTACCTAACTTCAAGGTTCATCACAAAAAAGAGGACTTGCATATCGTCCAGTTAGATTAATTAGATTCTCCAGTAGCTTTAGAATTAGATTACACTGTAAATTAAACCCTGAGTAAGCTCTTTGACTGATTCTGAACAAGACTTGCCTGGCCAAAAGATCACAATGATTCCTTTTGTGTGCCACAAGTCTTCCAGAGTTATTTCCAGCTCCAGAAAGGATCATTTTGACATGACCTACCTTGGTAAGCAAACCTCAATACTTGCTCCTTTCCTGTGTTCTGACTTCATCTGCTAGTCCCTTCCTCACGGCTTTTTCCTCCAGCCATGTCTGCCCCAGTACTGTTTATGGAACATGCCAAGCACAATTCCCACTTTAAGGCCTTTGCATTTGCTCCTCCACTTCATTCAGGTCCTGGCTCAAATGCTACCTTATCAGAGAAGTCTTTTCTAACTTATCTATCTTAAATAGTTCTCATATTCCCGTTACTGCTGTTGTGTGCTGTGGAATTGATTCTAACTCATAGTGACCCTATGGGACAAAGTAGAACTGCCCCATAGAGTTTCCAATGTTGTAATTCTTTAGGGAAGAAGATTGCCAGATCTTTCTTCCCACAGTGTGCCTGGTGATTTCAAACTGCCAACCTTTTGTTTAGCAGCCAAAAGCTTAATCACTGGACCACCAGGACTCCTTTTACCACCATCACTACTGTCTCCTAATTCTGTTTTATTTTCTTATTAGAAATTTTTAGGATGATACTTTCTTGTTTCTAGTTTATGTTCCCCCTCTCCCATCCCCCCTCCTGAGCTCTTATAAACCATAAAAACCTACTTACTTCCATAGAGTTGATTCTGACTCATAGTGAACCTATAAGTCCCAGGAAAGAAGAAAGACCGTTGCCTGTTTTTACTTATTATCCACTCTGTCTCCTGCCACATAGTAGATGCTCTATGAAGATTTGTTATTGGACAAATGTGACTCCATGATGAGATTAAACCCCCAATATCTAATCAGTAATTCAAACATAATCATTAAATTAGGTATGTATTTAAAATATATACAAGTAACTCCAAGCTTGTGTCAAAAAACAAAACAAAACAAAACAAAAAGGAAACCCATTACTGTGAAGTCGATTCCTCTCATGGAGATCTCATGTAGCAAGTAGAACTGCTCCATACGGGTATCTTGGCTGTAACCTTTACAGAAGCTGGTCCCCAGGCCTTTTTCCAGGGTGCCACTTGGTATGTTCCAGCCACCTTTTGGTTAGTAATCCAGTGCAAAGAAGCATGTATTTTTATATTTGTTAGTTGCTGTTGAGATCATTCTAACTCATGGAAACCTCATATGTAGAGAACAAAACTACTCCATAGAGTTTTCATCGCTCTAACCTTTTAAAAGCATATTGCTAGGTCTGTCTTCTGAGGCACCTCTTAAAAAAAAAAACCAAAAAAAACACACTGTCATCAAGTATCAAGTCAATTCCCACTTACAGCAACCCTATATGATTGCCCCATAGAGTT